CTAAATTTCATCAATAGCCTTAATTCTCCTCTGCTATATTGTTCCTGGCATTAGAATGAAGCTGTCTTTCTAGGCCATTATTCTGCACACCACAYTTGCTCACATCCCAGGTACATCAGGTAATCCACAGGGAAACATTTTGTTCACTGTAAAATTTTACACAAATCAAATAACATTTTCTGTTCTATGGTAGACATAACATTAAACTGGAGTCAAGAGATTTAAATTCTCACCCAGATTTTGGTAGTATGTTGCTGGGTGATCTTTGGCAACTCACTGAACTCCTCTGGGATTCAGATTTCCTAATTCTRAAGTTTAAGAATTAAGAGAGACAAGCCAAGATGATCTTTGTTCTTAATTTAAAGTTGATAAACAGAATAGTGGAACTCAAGATATGCTTATATGAGGTAACAATTATTTGTGGGAACGTAGSCTCAGCCCATTAACACACAGTAGAACTGAGCAATACACTAAGATTTTCATAGTTGCATTTCTTAGTTGCATTGGTTTGTTTAATTCTCGAGGTCCTTGTTATGAATGGCAGATCAGAGATTATCCCTACTTAACTTATGAGCAACTTTGGTTTAGATAGCTTAAGTGATTTCATGAAGGTCATCTAACCAGTTAATAGTGGAGTTAAGACCACAATCCAGATCTTTGACAAGTTCTGTGCATACTCTGCTACCATTACTTTTTCTCTGAGATAAAATGCATGTGAAGTTTGGCAGCAGCACACAGGATTAGAACAGTATTGTAGTATTAGTTAACTACAGTTGGTCATAAAGGTATTTTGAAATATTTTTTCTTGTGCAAATTGAAGTTTGAAGCACTTTTTTTTTCTGCTTAAGACTAAAGGATATGTTAGACCCTGCAGATAGAGCATAACAATATTCATTTACTGAAAGAAATATCTAATATTCTTCCTGTGCTCAGTACTAAATTGGTTCATTTCAAGTACTAAATAAAAACATACAGATTGTACATAGTGGCTCATTTCTTTCCTTCAGATAGAGAAATCTGGTCATCATGGTGATAGCTAATACCTGGTTTTCACATTGAGCTAGAGGAATTTAACATTTATCTCACATTAGAAATTATATTAGTATATGCTATCTCAATTATTTAGAAAGTCTTAATAAAGCACATAAACCACTATAAGGGCAAACTTTTTGTTTGTCTTGCAATGATCCTGGCAGATAAAAAGGATATTAAAGGTAAGGGATATGATGTGGCTCTCTAGAATTAGCAGTGGCTAGAAATGGCTACTGACCCTGAGATCATAGGAAAGGGAGGTGGGGAGTAGTTGCTCCAAGTCAAGAGACCCAAACTGTGACAAGGCCCCTTGATAGGATCTACAGTCTTTAACAGATAACCCAATAGGAAGTCATTCCGGGAAATGGGTATCCCAACTTCATTTTGCCATTTGTTGAACTCAACAGGAAATGGGAGGAAAGAGGAAATGTTTAATGCAATCTTTTGATGTCAGCTTGCTGGACACAGAATACAAAGAAGGATGCAGGTAGATGTGGAGGGTGTGTGGAGGACACCTAACACAGAGCTACGTCTGCCTGCATGTTATTTTATTAGAAACTACAATTCACTGTCACATTGCTGCCTTTCAGGATGCATTTAGAAACACAAACAAGCTGGCTTTTAGCAAAGCACAAAATTCACAGCAAATAAGTAATTCACACAAGAAACTCTTCTAACTCGTAGAGTACTTTATCAGTTTGTTGCTGCTTTTAAGTAAAGGGTGACTGTGAAAAATAATAAAAAATATTTTAGGAGTGGATCAAATTGTAATGGTGTTTCCTTTTACTTTATTCTTGTACCTTGGTTATCACATTATTTCAAAGTTTAATCTTAATTCATCATTGTCATTTTAACTGATTTAGTTTTTGAAAAGATATTTGGAAAGAATTTAATCTGTCTCAGAAATACTTTGTTCAAATAATCTGTTTTTACAAACTAGATGGCAATTCTAAAAACTCAAGTTTGCAAAAACAAAAAGATCAAAATAATATCCCCAAAAGTAAATTAATAAAGATTTAGCTCCAAAATCTGCTGAATTTTAGATTCATTTTGAGAATTCACATAATTAAACAAAATAAAACAAAACAAACTCACTGTGTACAGTTTTTGTGTATAAGGAAATAGTAACTAATCCACTGCTTACTTATTGATATTGCATAATTTCATCCATGTTTTGATATTATTGTGAAAATTAAGTTAGTAATCGTATAACATGTATGATTTTAGCCATATCACCAAAAGAAAATCTAATAATCACCATAGTTTTGATTGCCTTTTTGATTTTCAGAAAATTTTTTGCAAAGACCTAAGTAAATGGACTCAATCCTGAGCATAATTAAATGTATAATATATATTAATATGTTCAGGTGGAAAGAAAAAAAACAGGGGGAAATCTCATTTAACTGAGAGAATGATTAGCATACACATTAGATTAAATGTGTATTAAAACTGGCTTTTTTGAAATGGCATTAATATTCCATAATTAACAATAATAACATGTTTTTATTCTATTTTGTGATAAAAGGAAATTCATGAATTAAGGTAGCTTATTGTTAAAAATATCAGGATATCCTGCCCTTTCTTTTTTTAAGAAATTCTTTCATGACTTCTTTCTAAAGACAAGGTCAGGAAAGACAAATTTAAGTATGTAGATGACTATGATTATGGAATGATTAAATTTGGTCTTTCTTAAAATAGATTTTGTAAACTGAGAACTGCAAGGGTTGTCTGCTTAGAAAAACCAACTCAAAATCATTCACTTATTGAGCATCAAAGAGAATATTGTATGATACTTACTTTGACAATACATAGTATCTAAATTTTTATAGTGATGTTTCATTTATTCATTATTTATTCAACGAGGATGGATAATAGTAACAATTCAGTCCTTAAACTATTTGACAAAATAGTTAAAATACTTGAAGAAAATATCTTACATTAAACATATAATTCTTTAGAGTTACATAAATGAACTTTATACACATCTTATTCATCTTGTACTTGCAGTGCCTTACACACAGCAGATGCTTAGTAACAAATATTTCTCCTCTTTATTTGATAATACAGTTTTCATCACAAATTAGAAGTACATATTTTAGCCTAAAACAATTTATTATGCAAATAAATGCTCCCTGACCATTCTGAACTGCAATCTCAGAGATTGCCACATGTTCATGACCTTTCCCCCAAAATGACACTCACCCTGATGGAAGCTCAGGGTATTCTAGGAAAATTTAAAAGTATTTTAAAATTCTATTACTCCTTAGAATTTTATAGTAAGTTAAAAACTGAGACAATATTTATTCCATGAACTCACAAATTGTCAGGGCAATATGAAAAGCCATTTCCTTATTTATTTATATTTATCAGCTTCTCTTGATAATCACTAGAAATGTCTCTATAAAGACATGTGCAGATTTGAAGTGTGAGGTGCTAGTCAGTAGAAGAAAATGTCTTCTAAAGCTGCTAGAGGTCCAGGTACCTACTTTAGGAAAGATGTCTTCAAGGGAAACATTAAGGGGTTGATGTTTTATCAAAATTATGTTCTTAGAAATATTATTTTGAAAGATGAACAATGAAGTTGATAATTTTGAGATGAAAAAAAATCTCTGAGAAATAGAAAATTTGGGGTGTTTTGCTTTTTTAATCAACCCATCTATAACTAAATCTAATGTTCAAGTCATCTCAGAAGATTAACTGCAGGATGATTCGTTTGTGCTGTCATTCTGTTTGTGGCCCACAGAGAGCAAGGAAGGAATCATGTCACCATTCACATTTCCCAGTTGAGTCTGGGAGACCAGCTACTTTTTCCTTTTTCTCCCTCTTCTTCCTGTTTGTGCCATGCCATTTACCTTTCTGCCTTATTCTGCCTCTTCCCCTTTCTCACACATCCCAACAGAAACCTCACAAGAAGAGAAACAAAGTCTGCATAGTCCATATCAGTGTTCTACACGGTGGCACATCATATTAATGAAAGCAGATCACACATCTTTCATAATATGCCGTAACTAAGTCCTGTCCAGAGCCATTCGATGCCACTTCTAGTAGAGGCTCCAATAGGCACAGGTGGCAAATGTCAAGTTAACCCCTTTCTAACCCTGCCGTTTTTAACACTCAGAGGATCTCTCTCATTCGTCTTTAAAATAAAGTACGAAATTCCAACATCAAATCTCATGCTGTTAAATTAACAACATCACACCGCTCCATATGACTTGAATATTTCCCATAACTTTATGACTGGAAAAACACTGTTCAGATTTCATTTACCAGTTTAAAAATAGCAAACTCTAATTTGAAACACACTCTCTCCCTCTCCCTTTCTCTCTCTCTTACACACACACACACACACACACACACACACACACACAATTGTGCACTATCAATAATATTTCCTCTCAGTACTAGGCAAGTATTTCTTAGTACAAACACAAATAAGATTCAGTATAATTACAGGTTTTAAAAGTCAAATATGTTGAAAGATGATGTTTGTTATCAAACAAATCAAAAAGAAAATATTACTTAAAGCTAAAATGACAAGCCACAGTCTGTTTTGTATAACAATGGCTATTTATCTGTTTTTAATACATAAATCAAAACTATTCGGTATTTCTTTTGACTTGAAGATTATTCATAGATTATTATATCCCTGTCCAGTGCAATTTCATTTTATTGAGTGGGTGGGTGCTGGGCAAGGCAAATAATATATTTTAAACATCTTAAAGTGGTATGATAATTAAAAAAAATGAATTGTTTTCAAACTTTGTCATTTTGTAGATCTGGAGATAAAACTAAATGACAAATTTAGAAAAGATGCCCACAGATCATTTTAAGTCTACATAAAATCCAAAATAATATCACTGTGCAGACCAAACAAGGAGGGGTTCCTCTTTGTACACAGCAAAAACACTCATAATACACAAGGCACTGAAATTAAGTTTTGATAGAAGTTATGTCACATTTAAACTCACCGCTGGATGTAAGGGTCGGGGCAGTACTGTAGGGTGGCACACCGTGAAGTTTCAAAATTCATTTCCTTCAACTCTCCTTGATATCAACCAACGGAGAGCAACTATATAAAATATACACATATACCTGTGTATATATAGATATTTAGCCAGAAGGCTAAAAGCAATAGGGTCAAATGCCATCAGACATAGAAGTTTAGACACTTCCCCCCTTCACACACATTTGCAAAGAGGCGGAGCATTTCTTCGTTTTAGCCAATGAAATCCATCGAGTGACTAAAACATCATAAACAGTTGATTCTTACCAGCTGGGCATCCTCTCTAAAGTTGTTCTTCCCCTTCTATCACGGCTTTAGAGTCCTTGATGTATGGTAGCCACACTTGTTGGCAACTTGGAGGCATCTCTGAACTTCTGCTCTCTCTCCTGATTGGATGTCGGCATGAATGGCATCAGAGTTTAATTTCAGCAGCCTGGACTTTTGTGATAGAACTGAGCTGAGGAGTGTCCACCTCGCTCCAGCTAAATATCATTCCCTTGTATCTGGGTTCTGACTTGATTTGAGGACTTCTGTGACTGCGTCTAGGGCTAAAATGTTTTGCAGGGCTGCTTAGGGAAGTGTTTTTTTCTTTTTAAATCTCTTCCCCTCCTCCCCCCTTCAGCCTTCCTTTCTGCCAACCGCCTGTTGTGGTCACAATCTCAAATAGCAAAGACAGGGAAATTCCTTGATTATATTTAACCTAGAACGCACTCTTCAGTCTCAACTAAGAGAGAGAGAGAGAGAGATCCATTCATATCTCTTTAGAAATTTTGCCTGCCCCCAATAAAATAAAACAATTTTCACTGATCTATTTAAATATTCTACCTCAAACACACCAATACATATATATATAATAATTTTCTTAAAGTGATATTAAAATGGGAAATCATATTTTATTTCAGAACATTTTTTGAAGCTTAACAGAAGTATTTCAAATTGCTTGCTAATGAAAATGTTCTAGTTTATTTCAGTGTAGTTCATTGTCTTACCGTTTCATTTTTGGTTTTGCTTTGACTTGACCTACTTTGAAATAAAACCATGAAATCATCCATGCATTTAATGATTAATATCAGGAAAAGTATACATACAGAATAATTTCCTTCCTGTTGGAATATGTGTTGTAAACTTATCTTGGTTCTGTAGATTTGGAAATTGAATGAAATATGATTCAAAAGCTAAATTAGAATAGACTCGAACTGAAAAAAAAAAAGTATGCCCAAGTATTACTAACATGGCAAGTTCACATCTTCCATTTGTCTTCTAATTATAGGACACCTGTAAACTAGTGACATCAGAAGATGTCCACGTTGTGAGACAATCTAAAGTCATTTGCAAAGAAATTTGACATTTCCCTATAAGAAATTCTGGTTCAAAATGTGTTTCATAAAGATGTTTTATTTGTTGCTTCAGCCAGGATGGAAGGGAGAAGCTATTTAAAACTTGACATTCTCTTCCTTTACTTAGCCCGAGTGTGTCTAACATCTGTGAATTGTGAAATTCACAAACATGCCGGCCTGAGCCCCAGCCAAATCAAACAGCTTGTTCTACAAAATGTGAAACTTGAAGGGAAGATCATTTTACTAATTAATTAGATAGTTAATTGGAATTAAAGGGCTTGGTTTTCTTTCCTCCTATTGGCAATTACAAATGACCTGAATACAAAGTTCTTAAATTGAGGAAAATCAATATCCTGTGACCAGGCCAAGTGGGTCTGTCACACAGGTCATCAGTTTTCCCATTTATAAAACAAGGGAGATGATAGCTTCAAGTGCAGAGGTCTCAAATTTTAGTGTGCCTGTGAGTCACCTGGAAATCTTGTTAGTGCAGATTCTGGTTCAGTAGGTCTGGGGTGGGGCCTGAGGCTCTGCATCTCTTAACACCTTCTGAGGAGTCCTATATGGCTGGCCTTTGGACCACCCTTGGGAGTAGCAGTGTCTAGTGATCTTTCCAGGTCTGACATATATAATCCAAAGTTTCTAGGAAGTAAGAAAGGACTATTTTAAACATTCTAAATTACCATCTAGAACTGTCGACTCCCAAATAATCAGTTTTCAAATATTCCTCCTGGTTTTTTTTTAAATTTTAAAAGACTTACAGCTTAACTCATATTAAAATATTTAAAATATATGCCATAACATCAATAGTTGTTATAAAAAATTCTAAATTTACTTGACTTAAAAGGACCAATTTTATATAAGTAATTATGAAAAATAGTGGTTCATACTACATAATAGAAATAAATAGGCAGAGTTACTTTGACTAAGGAGGAAAAAAAAATAACAGACTCTTTAGATTTCAACACCATACTAATATCACATAACCATCCACAACCTGGGAAAATAAGTGACAATTATACTATAATTATCATAACTGCCTCTTATTTGCATCCTTTTCCCCCCAGGAGACTCAGGTTACTACTTAAATGTATGAATTATTTTCTTGGTACGCAAGTTAGATACTCTTTTGAGACTGTAAGTTTTTTAGGCAGAGGTTGTAATAGACTGTGACATAGAAGCCTAGGAGAAGGTAATTGTCTTTTTGAACTGTGTGATGGATGTCTGTGAACATGTTTGATCTATATAAAGACAAGGAGAAAGGGCTCAAGGAAGCAGCATCATTTAGTGTCTGGAACACTAGATTCAGTGCTTCTTCCCTCTCAACTTCAGCAGCTAAGAATGTGCACTCTGCCACACTCAGAGAGATTCATACTGCAAGCTCTTCTCGCTTATAGCCATGAAATGTTTCACTACTGCTCTATTTTATGCAGTCTCTCTTCCAGATTGTGTACTTTTCTGGTTGATCTCCTGCCTTAAATCATATTTTGTTCTCCACCAAAGATTTTTAAAACCTCAAATGCACGTCCTTCAAAAACTGAAAAAATGTCCCTCATCCCTCCAGATAAAAGAAATCCCTACCTGTAATGTCTGAAATCATCATATCCACACTTGTGTTTGGTCAGGGATCCTACAACTTTCCTCGTTGATTCTAGCTATTTTTGAGTATGATTCATCTTAGTACTAGACCACAAACAACTTGAAGCCAGGCTTTCTGTCTGATTCATCTAAGGACCAGCAACATATTACACAGTAGATGAATAACCTGCTTATAGGCTTGTAAAATTCACCTAGCAATAAGTTTTACAGATGATTAAAATTAATTTCCATAAAACACTTGACTTTTTAGATTTAGCCTTATGATACACAGTTTGTATATAATAAAATTTATCGATTTGGGCTGGGGCTGTATCTCAGTGGCAGAGCACTTGCCTAGCATGTGTGAAGCAGTGGGTTTGATCCTTAGCACTACATAAAAATAAACAAATAAAATAAAGGCATTCTGTCCATCTGCAACTACAAAAAAAATTTWAAAAAAAGAAAAATCACTGATTTAAAGTGCTCAATTTAAGGAGTTTTGATACATTATACAACATTATCTACATTCATAATCAAGATATGGAATATTTCCATTACCCCCCAGACTCCTTTTCGGTCCATCCTCCCTCACTGAGGTCCTTAGGCAAGCACTGTCTTGCCTTTTTTTGTCATTATAATTTAAGTATATATTTTCAAGTAACATGTTATCCAGTAGAACTATTTGTGAAGAAGAAAATAGTCTATATTTGATATTTGCATTGCCTGGGATGGTAATCACTAGTACATATGGTCAATGTTATTGAGGAACTAGATTTGTATTTTTATTCAATTTTAATCAATCTAAATGTAAATGTTCACATGTGGCTAGTGACCACCATTTTGGATAAACAATGCTAAACTGTCCCATAAATTGAGGCACACAGTATATATTCTTTGCTGTTTAGGTTTTTTTGCTTAATGATGCTTTTGCTATGTGTATAATTGTGTTAACTACATCAGTGACCCATTCTTTCTATAGCTGTTCAGCATGTAAATTCCTTTTTTTTTTTTTTAACCTACAATTAAGAACAATCTGGCAGTCTGATCTCAGATACTTAATTATGGCCACAGAGTTCAAAGTCCAATAAGGCGTTAAGATCTCAGTGATAAGAAATCCCAGAACTTGTTCTTGATCCTACTGAGTTTCCTAGAAATGTAGTATTTCCTTCCCTGTAAGACTTCTGCCACACAACTCTAAAGAAGGAAGCATATATACTAAAAAGTAGTTGGTTAACCTGGGTTCATCTGGACTCTGGTCCTAACTTACCCGCAGAATTTAGCAGACTCTTCAAATTTTTTATTCTATCTTCAAAGAAGGAGGTATGTATCAATACAGATTCTTTTGACATAACTAGTGGAAATAGACACTGCCTCAGTAAAATCAAAAATATTAAAACAGGAAAAAAGAAACATGAAAATTCAGACTGGAAGAGAAAAAGTTGGAAAGCTTGGTATCAAAAAGGGCTGGAACCAGGATTGTTTTAAAGATTGAATTAAGAGGAATGAGTAGAGTGACTTCATGTGACCATTTACATTTAGATTGATTAAAATTGAAGAAAAATACAAATTTAGTTCTTCAATAACATTGACCACATGTAACTAGTGGTTACCATCCCAGGCAGTGCAAATCTCACTACCACAATAGGGTAAAGTCAGATTGAACAGGTTTTTTTATTTATTTATTTATTTTAACTCAAATTTCTCAATGTAAGATTCAAATTCCCAGAAGAGAGATACCATATTTGTTCAGGAAAAGTCTGAACAGCCTACCAAGACGGAACAAAGAGTTTTGAAAAGGAAATAGACGGAGGTTCGGTTAACCAAAGAGAGGGCAATAGATATAGGGTGATAGAAAAGGACAGATGCCATCAGAAAGGCTGAAAGCAGTTGATCTTGCACCTTCCCTACAGCTTTGGCACTCAGTGACTTTATGATCTCTGCATGATCAGAGAAGCTGAACTCCTTTGTGTCGGGATAACTGAACCTTGGTTCTCTCCAGGGCATCCAAACCTGCACCACTTTTACAATATAGGAACCACACAAGGGAGTGGAGTAAATTCTCTAGATGTTGCCCAAACTGAAAGGACTGCAGAGTTCGATAATTTTTAGTTTTTAATACTTTTCTGACACAACTTCAGTTTAACCACCTAATATTTTATAAAAGTGGAAAACAAAGCTCTGCTTTAGGTGGGATCCTACTATCCTTCCAACTTAGTGATCTAATATTTGCTACAGTCTACACATAGTAGTAAAGCTAGACCGAGAAATTAAGTGTACTGGATGGGCCTTTTCTTTAAAAAAAAAAAAAAAATTCAATGAAAAAGCAAATTCAGTGTAAACT